GGACATTATTGTCGATAATATTATCGAGCATGAGCAAAATATTATCGCATGATCCGAATGCATGTAAATCTGATACACACGCAATGTTGAAATATGCGAATCCCCCCTCATCCAATAAGTCATCATCCTCATCATCGCCATCATCTCTATTCCCTACAATTTTTTTCTGAAACTCAATCTCTGTTCATTGATTCCGTTATTTCGGTACAAAACAACAATTGCTACACCCTTTTGCTTGTGCTCAATCTCAGGTATCACCTTCACCTCCACTTTGTTGTGTTGTATTGCAAAAAAGACCTTCGATGGCATCTCCGGCGATGGCCGTGTCAGGGGAAAAGTGCCAAAAAAATCCTAAACTTTTTGCATTTGTATCAATTTAATCCTAAACTTTTTTTTGGTGCCAATTCAGTCATAAATCTTTTGCATCGGTGTCAATTTAGTCTTAAACCTTTTTTTGGTGTCAATTCAGTTCTAAACCTTTTATTTTTGTGCCAATTCAGTCCTTCCGGCCAATTTTGGCTTGATTTTGCTGACGTGGATGCCGACCGGCTAGTCACCGGTGCTGACGTGGATAACTTTAATAATATTTTAATATTTTTTGAATTTTTATTTATTTATTTCTTTTCTTTTTATTTCCCCTCCCCTCCTCCAGCCGGTCGCCGGACTGGCGATCGGCCAGAGCCTAGAGGCCGGCGCCGGCGAGGTCGACCTTGCCGGCCACTAGCGTGGGCGGCCTCGCGCTGGGCGAAGGTCGACCTCGTCAGATCCGGTGAGGCCGTGCCTCGCCCAACTGTCAGTGAGGCTCGACCTTGCCAGATCCGAGGAGGTCGGGCCTCGCCCAGTCGCTGGCAAGGCTCGTCCTCGCCAGCGACGACGAAGGCAAGCCTCGCCCAGCCGCCGGCAAGTCTCGACCTCGCTAGATCCGGCGAGGTCGGGCCTCGCCTAGTCATGGCGAGGCTCGCCTTCGCCGTCGCTGGTGAGGGCAAGCATCGCCAGTGGCTGGGCGAGGCCCGACCTCGCCGGATCTGGTGAGATCGAGCCTCGCCAGCAACTGGGCGAGGCACGACCTCGTCGGATCTGATGAGGTCGGGCCTCACCGGCGAGGGCTGGGCGAGCCTCGCTGGCGGTTGGGCGAGGTCCGACCTCGCCGGATCTAGCGAGGTCGACCCTCACCCGGCCATGGCGAAGGCCGGGTGAGCCTCGCTAGCCCAGAGCAAGGCTCGCCCTCGCCGACAACGGCAAAGGTGAGTTGGGTGAGGCTCGACCTTGCCGGATTTGGCGAGGTCGAGCCTTGCCGGTGACTGGGTAAGGCTGGATCTCGCCAGATCCGGCGAGAGATTTGGCGAGGTCGAGCTATGCCCAGCCATGGCGAGGCTAGCCTTCGCCATCGCTAGCGAGGGTGAGCCTCGCCAATGGCCGGCGTGGCTTGCCTAAGGTCGACCTTGCCGGCCTCTAGCCTTAGGCCGGTCATCGCTCCGGCGAGCGGTTGAAGGAAGAGGGAGAAGAAAAAAAAAAGAAAAAAATTCAAAAAAATATTAAAATATTATTAAATTTTGTCCACGTTAGCGCCGGTGACTAGTCGCTAGCCGGCCGACATCCACGTCAGCAAAATCCGGCTAAAATGACTGAATTGGCACTATATCAAATGGTTTAGGATTCAATTGGCACCAAAAATAGATTTATGACTAAATTGGCACCACCCCAAAAAGTTTAGGACTTATTCAGCACTTTTCCCCACCGGAACCAAACATAACGCATTCGAATGTTTGTCGGGTCAGGTTTACATCTTTTGTAACCAATTCTTTTCTCCTTTTTCATTAATTCAAGAAATAATTACAATAAAAGTCATAAAACTTGTCGCAAAAGTGCAATTGAATTATAAAAATTTTAAAAATACAATTAAATTTATTAAACTTATTAAGTTGGTACAATAAAATTTTAAATCTTAATCTCCAATTTTATGAAAAGATAGTCCAGTAAATGGATATATTTTGTTGTCAATGGCAAAGCGCGTGTCTATAGACTAGAGTTAATAAGATTCAAAATAAATAGATCATTTAGATGGCCATATATATATATATCCAATTAGATCATTAAAAACAAGGACATAGAAAATACACCTGATAATCCAAGAAGTTAAAGTTAGCATGGGCCTACTAAAAAAAATGTGAATAACATAACTATTAACTGGAAAAAATTAATACGACGACCAAAGTGGGTTTTACCACAGTTAAATCGATAATCATGGGGAATGGAAGATCAAATTGCCTTATAAGTTATCCATTCAGTTGAATAGAGCAAGAACTTAAACATTGAGGCTGAGATGGTTCGAGAATATTTCGCTAGCATATGGTTGCCTAATAAATCTCTTCTAATGAATTTGCCAAAATGAATGTGCAGATGGAGATGCCAGCTAAGATGCTATGAGAATTTCATAAATTCGATGTCATTAACTAACCTAAGAAAAGTTAATAGGTTAGTTTGAAAAATACCCTTTTTCCATTTAGCAACTCTACAAATTTCAAGTAAAAACCAACCATGATGCAAGCACCCAAGTGGTAATTACGGATTGGGCACTTATTTTCGTTCCTAAGCCTACCAAATACATCGATCCATATTCTAAAATACATACATTGAATCTTTAAGAATCTTACTAGAACTATTTTGCATCATTCTATTGGCAATAGATTCTTTCATTTGTGGCAAGGCGTGGCTATTTCTTATTAGAGAAGAAACATCTTTTTAAAAACAAAAGGAAAGTGTACTGGGGAAAGCTTAAGTTACTAGGATAAGGCCGGTGATACAGCGTACAACAACAACAAAAGAGTATAAAGAGAAACCTTCCCACTTGGCCTAGCTTTTAATTACCTCCCAAATGGTATTAGCTGTTGAGATTAATTTCCTAATATTACCAAGACTCGGGGAAATTATCAAGAAAGTTCTAAACTTTTTATACTTGTCAATTCAGTTGTAAACATTTTAATTTAGCCAATTGAGTCATAAACCTTTTAACGATTTATCTATATCGCCGACGTGAATGCTGGACGGTCGGCGCTAAATTAGATAATTTTTTAAATTTTTTTAAAAAAATTTCTGAATTTTTTCCTTCAAAAAATTATTAAAAAACTATCCACGTCAACGCCAGCCATGCCATGTAGGACGGTTGCATCCATGTCAACGATTTTCTGACCAAAATTGGCTGAATGGACTACATTGGCTTATTGTCAAAAGGCTTAGGACTCAATTGATCAAATTAAAAGGTTTAAGACTAAGTTGGCACATATGCAAAATAGATTTAGGACTTTCTTCATAATTTCCCCACCAAAACTTTGAGATATAAAGTAAAAATATCAATGTCAAGTCCGAACCTCTTTTAATAAAGCTAAGAAGTAAATTGAATGGATAGACATAGACAACACAAACCACATCGTTTCCTTAAATAGAGTGTAGAGATGTTTGGTAATTGTAATTTTAAAGTGTATTGAGAAGCAAGTATTTGGCAATATCATACCTTGAAAACATTTTTTGCTTTTTTTTTAAGAAAAAAATTAAGACCAACAATGACTCAGTGGCTGGTGGGAGGTTGACGATACTCCGGTGAGGCTAAATCTGGTTGCTGGCGAGCCAAATCTGGCGATGGCAACCATGCCTAGGTCAAGCGAACCCAGGTGACGGGGCTTGGGGGCTAACAGGCATAGGCCGCTAGGGTTTGTGCGACCCAGGTGCTATCGCCTGGGTTTTGTGCAACCCCTCAAGCTATAGTCACCGGCCTCCGTCCAACACTCCTATGCGTGATCCGCGGGGGAAGATGAACAGTGTCGATAACTTACATTTTGATAATGCTATTTTTCAAAGGAACTCCGGACCTCTCTTGGGCTAAAGGCCTTTGATGCAATTGCATTTTCTCAAAGTTCTCCAAAAAATTTGCCAAACGCACTACATTGAGGATAGAAAAAAATCAAAAAGAAATTTATGAATTACAACAAATGTAAATTAATTGTCAACTAAGTTGCTAACAAGAATTTAGTAATTTAGAGGCAATAACCTAACTCCGCAACAGAATAAGTAGCCAATCAAACATGACGTTACACTCCAAATAACAATTAACCGCTTCTTTCATTGCCTAAACTTACTAGGCACATCGATATAAATGCTAAATTGGTATATTAATCATTGAATATGTTGCTACTATCTACTTCCCTAATTCAATCATTGACAAATTTTCTCTTATTTGTGCCACCGCGTCGCCGCGCAAAGTGAAAGGCAATAATTATTCGAAAAATATAAATAAAGTGTATCTAGGGCCGCATTCGACAACTACACAAATTTTCTCTCATTTAGGCCGCCTCTCAACTGCGCAAAAGGGAATATTGTTATATAAGGAAAGCGCATCTAGGGCCGCGGAAATACACATAGCCATTGTGATAATGAAGACATCATGGTCCATTATTCATTTATTCGGAACGTTTTTATCATCGAATAAATAGTTTATATGCGGAAAAACGTCAACATATATCTTAATTGGATTGTTTAAATTATCGATATTTTTATTATCGGCAATGACGTAAGCTGCTGCTATTTTATTATCGACAATTCGTGATTTTTCTTGCACCGTTACAAATTTCCTATAACGGCATTGTTATGCTAGCTAAGTCCTTTCTAGCACAACCAATTAAATAAAAGGTAAGTTTAGTTTAGGAAATAAATGGCAAGTATGTCTTGAACCGCGTCCTAGGATATGTTGAGGCCAGAAAAGCATGAAGAAGGATACTTTATTTGAACTCATCTTTTAATTACCTTCCAAGAAATCTCTTATTAATTAATGATTGGGATTTAGTTTCCATAGTCACATTTCTCTTGCATTCCTAGGAGAGAACACGCTCTGTTTAAATGCAGCCCGTGCTCACTGCCTGCATGCATCAATAACTTTCCACCACTTTCTCGTCTCAGCTTTCCCGGAAAAGAGAAGATAAATTTCTTTCTGTTTCATATTTGACAAAATGCATATCGACCTGAGCACCTTGAGGCGCCTCCTCTCTCCCGGTCCCAGCGGCGACGAGAAGAGAGCGAAGCTCACCCCCAGGGAGCTGGAATCTATCTGCAATTCCTTCGACGAGTCCCTCCTCTCTCGCCTCCGGGCCCTGAGCCCTACCTCCGTCAGCCTTGCCTGGCTCTCCTCTGCCGTCGACGTGCTCACCTTCGCTCATGCTGCAGCGAAACCCTTGGTACCTGACCTTGAATTGGACTACGGCTATGGCCTGTCGTCGTGGTATTTGGACAACAACCTAACGGTCCTGAATCTCTGCAACCACATCTCCTCCGAGATTCAGCGACTGTGCCTCCGCCGACTGAAGCTGAGGATCGCGATTGAGTTCCTTCGCTCGGACCGCAACCCATCGGAGGAGAAGATTCGTCAAGCGAGAAATGTGCTCACAGATTCGGAGGGCGAAGGCGTTGATGGGTATTGGAAGTCCACCCGCAATATCGAGGAGCTGATCAGAGACCTGGCTGTGAGCATCAGAACATCGGCTCCGCAGGGTAAGGTCTCGCCGGTGGAGAGAGTTTTCCGCCGCATGGTTCATGCTGCCGGCTTTGTGATGGTGTTCGTCGCTGGAGTCCTATCTGCAGCCTTTCACCCTTCCCTGGGGGCGGTCGCACGCGTCCACGTCCCAGAGGAGTTCCCTTGGGGCGACTCTTTCCGCACGATCGAGTCAGCGGTCATCGCGGAGTTGGAACATAATCAGGAGAAAGACGGGAAGACCTGCGCCTTAAAGGAGCTTGATGACGCGGAGGCGCGCGCTAGGTGCCTGCTCGAGGCGATTGATGAGGTTGCAGCATCAGGAGGCAGCGGAGAGATGGTTGGGAGGCTGAGGGAGATGGTGACTGGGTTGGAGATGGCGACCGGGGTGATGTTGGAGGGGCTCGAGCGGCTGAGGGAGGCGGTGAAGGGGCTATTCCAAACGGTCATGGGGATAAGGGAGGAGATGATGGATAAGCTGTCGCCGGAGACGCCATTGGAGGTGTTCTTTACGATCCAAAACAACAAAGTGACGGTGATATCCGAGATTTGAGCGCAAGCAAAAGGGTGTAACGGTTGTTGTTATGTACCTAAATAAACGAATAAAAATGAACAGAGATTTAGTTTCATTAATTGCTGAAAGAATCGTAGTGACTAGTGAGTAGAGATGATGACCATGATGATGATTGATAATTTCTAGTTTGAAGGTTTGGAAAATTATGGCACGGCACGGATGCATACGAGTCGGGTTCACGTGCATTACTGAACGAGGCGAGATCGAGACATAATTCGACGTTGCATGTGTAATAGATTCGCACGCATCGAGATCATGCGATAATGATTCCGAAAGGTTGAGATATAGGCTTGGAAAGAAGCAAATGGAAATGGGCAACAAAGCGATATGATTTTGTATCTCTATATATACGGTCCATATTGAAGTTGAAATCTTTTGGAACAAAAATTTCTTCTGTCCATGCTCGAGTAGTTTGCCAAACTGTTACTGAATACTAGGGAGTGAAAGGCAGCTACATTTAGGTCAAATTCATATAAAGATTTATGTGCACGCGATATTAAATTTATAGTAGAATCGTTCGACCAATCAACATTACAAAAGAAATCACTCAAATCAATAAGGCATTTAAACTTTTGTGGCGTTGGATTTACATTTCATCATTTCATGTAAGTTTAAACTATAGATGAGCCTCGACATCATTTTGTAAGAAAACATTGGAGACCCACCTGTTTTGAGATAAATCACAAGACCAAACAGATGATTTAGGACCACAATATAGCGTTCAGTTCATGCTTCTCTTTGCTATTTTGAGAATAAAAAGAAATGGGGGATTAAAAGTTTGGATGAACATGAAGGAAAAAATAAATAAAAAAAAATTATGAAAGGGATGGAAAATATAATTTTATGTATTTTCTCCCATATTTTCATCACCCTTCTCTTATAAAAAAGTATCGATTCATCCATCCTTTCGACGAAAAGAGAAAAACACGCACTCACGCACGTAACATCTAGTAGATGTATTCAATGAAAGGATTGGGACAAATAATTTCATTTCCACGACGAGTCTTTTTTTAACGGTAATGGCAAAGCCCATCTTCTCCCAGCGTTGCTCATGCACATCGCTTATCACGTCCGACTCTTTTGAGACGTTTCGTCATTTCAGCTTTTTAATTTTTGCGAACCTTTCCACAATTTAACTTTAATTCAATATGTAATATCTAAAAAAAATTCAAAAATATATCAATACCAACATGTACAAGTCATACAGAAAGTTTCAAGATCTTCTGAAACTTCAAACTTTTTTTTTCTCAATTTCTGAGTTTTGAAGGACAAGTCCATACATAAGCAAACAAAAGTGTGTTCGTCCAATTATTCATTTAATAAAGGGATAATGATACAAATGATTCCTAAACTTTTGTACGATATGTAATGTGATCCTCGAACTTTAAATTTATTCAATGTGATCGTTGAACTTTAGTTCACTGTATAATATCGTCTCTAGACTTTTAATTTGTTCAATATGATCTCTGGACTTTTAGTACATGTTCAATTTAGCCCTTAAATTATATGAAATTAGTCAATATTGTCTTTTCATTAATTCAAGTTTATTGAACTAAATTGGGCGAGTACCAAAATTTCAAGGACCACATTGAACAAATTAAAAGTTTATGGGCACATTGAGCTACAGTTCTAGGATCATATTGAATAAATTTAAAGTTAGTGAATCATATTATATATTAGATCAAAATTCATGGATCATTTGTGTTGTTTACTTTTTAAATAAATCGCTCGATTTGAATAGAGCCGGACGAGAACGAACCGGAACACACGAACCGTGCTGGGGGGACAGACGACCAACCGGACCATACCTCTTCCTTACTGTTTTGTCCGTCTGTCATTGAGATGGGAAGGCGACAGGACTTACTTGCACTCGCTCCCTTTGACTCATCAGTGGGCAATACCAAAAGCGGATTGGAAGTCCAACTGAAGAGAGACACAGGCAGACACGCAAGAGAAGAAAAGCCGAGGAGGAGTAGTAAGCAAGAGAGATTCGGGAAGCAGCTCAGCTCTGCATCGCGCATTCCTCACGATGCATCAAGATTCCCTCCAGTAGCTTTCGGACACCCCCACCCGGCCCACTGCGAGATACCTCGCTCCCATGGATTACGAAAGGATCCGAAAGCCCCAGGTTTTGAGTGCTGCCCCATTTCGCTTTTTGCTCACGTAGTTGTGGGTGTGTGGAAATCTGCAGCCTTTGTCTTGAAACGTGTGGTGTTAGCAACGAGCGAAGTGAAAGATGGGCATTTCGGGTTTCCGAAAAATGCTGGGTGTCTTTCCACATTCTGCCTCAGTTGCTTTTTTTCTTTATATGGGATCTTTTGAGATCAATGTGTGTAGAGATTTGTTGAGAATGGGCGTGTTGGGTCTTTCTTGATTGTTTGGTTTGGGACATTTGGATGCGCGCAGGGTAATGCTGGTGGGGGGTTGTCTCCCAGGAAGTTGAGGAGTATGCTGCGTGGAGTTGAGAAGAAGAGGAAAGAAGAGGAGTGCCTTGATTCTTTGGGGTTCGACATGAGATCTGAGTTGAACAATGCGGATGATGCAGGTAAAAGCTCCCCTCCTTTTCTTTTACAGCTAATCCCTGGAAATTTTTAATTTTTCGAATTCATGTAATCCTCCCATTCTCTCTGTTTCTTTTCTGTGTTTGATTACTTGATTTGCCAAGTAACCCTGATGTGGGGTCTGGAGCGTAGGGTGTTTCTTTGAAATCAAGTAGACTGCAAGTCGAAATTTATGATCTATACGTTAAGGCAGATTCGTGTGAAATCTCTGCAGGTGGCGACAGTTCGGAGAATTGCAAGGATGTTGATGTTGTAACAGTTCTTCCTGAATATTCGGCTTCAACAATGTCCGATTTAGAGATGGTTGGGGACTGTCGACTGAAGGAAAACTCTTTAGTCCATTCAAGATTCAGAGAGCAAGAAGACCTTCCCATGGATTATGACGGTGTGAGTGTCTCATCGTCTGTTTTTGAGTTTCAGAAGGCAGAGAGGGCTCAACAAAGATTGCCCGTTGCTCCATTCTCGAAACCGGCACCATCTAAATGGGATGATGCCCAGAAATGGATTGCAAGTCCCACATCAAACAGGACCACAGGTGGACAAGCTAAGTGGGGTACTCGAAAGGCAGGTCTTCTTAGCTACGGGAGTCGGCAATCATCATTGAAGGTGGTTACGGAAGTTCCTGATCAGAGAACAGGTGGTTTAGGAGAACCGGATACAAAGAGGATTGATACAAGTCAAGCTAGCAAGGAAGGTGCAGGCTCCAAATTTGTTAGTTGGCAGGTTGATATGCATCCTATTGCAGATCTATATGGAAGGCCCATCCTTATGGTGGAAAATTCGATTGCGGAGTCAGCTGGTAAGGATCTGGTCATTCGGCTGACTAAATATTCTTCATCTTCTTTTGGCAATGGCATGTGTTTATGTTTGGCAATTTGCCTATATCTTTCATTCACCTTATATGCACATGCTCGATGATACAATATAGAATTGGCGTGTTCTCGTTGTATAATGAGATCTTTATGTGCAAAGAGCATCAGGTAAAAGTAGGCAAAAGTATGCCGTCTTCTATGAGATCAAAGTTACATGGGCTGAAATGTTTTAACACTGCAAAAGGCTAGGACCATTTGAGTTAAAGTAAATTCATCCCTTTTTTTATGCTGTAGAACACTATAACTCATCTATCCATATTTGCTATGATGTGCAGTAAGTCTCAGTCAACATGATTCTGTATCTATTCAGAGTGCCACTACTTATGTTCCACCACCTTCAACAGCAAGGTCAGTGTCAATGAGAGATATGGGTACAGAGATGACTCCTATTGCTAGCCAAGAACCTTCTAGAACAGGAACTCCAATCAAAGCAACTACTCCTACACGTAGCCCAGATTCTTCTCGGCCTTCAACCCCTGCCAGAACCATGCCAACATCATCGCAAGCTAATTCATCTAATAATCATGGAAATGATATGTCTGAAAAAGAGCTGCAAATGAAAACAAGGAGAGAGATAGTGGCTTTAGGGACACAACTTGGGAAACTGAACATTGCTGCCTGGGCTGGCAAGGAGGACGAGGGCAAAGATATATTGACTTCACTAAAAACTGAAGCCGTGACGCCACCAGCTAAAAGTGCTGTAGAAACACGTGCTGTGGCATGGGAAGAGGCTGAGAAAGCCAAGTACATGGCCAGGTTGATTCACTTGAAGCCATCAGTAGTTCTTTTTCCTAAGTGTTTCTTCTTTTGCACGAGATTGCAACTTCATCATTGACAAATAAGAAAGAGAAGCTTCAAGTCATATTAAACAATTGGGACTCATGTAGTGCAGTAACATATGTCTTGAACATTGCTAATTGATGTCTGCATCAATACTATAATGAAGGTATTGTATAGCATTCTTAAATCTGATCACCTGTCATGGCCCACTATATTGGGATGCTTAACTAGTATCCATATTCCTTCTTATTTAAATTGTAGGGTCAAGATCTTTGAAACTTATTTGTTACTGAGTGAGTGGAAATAGGCAAATGACAGCCAATGTGCCAAGGTTATTATATGTTGTTACTCTACAGTTCTATTAAATTTGTGGCTTACATTGTATATTTGCACTACACTGACCTAGGTTTAAACGTGAAGATATGAAGATTCAAGCATGGGAGAATCATGAGCAAGCGAAAACAGAGGCTGAGATGAGGAAAATTGAGGTACTTTTATTAATTTACCATCCTATTAGCCCACCCATTAGTTTCTTTCTGTGTGTGCCATCAGTCTAGCAATCTGTGGATCACTGAATTTTGAGAATATTAGATTAGTCAGATACTTCAATTATAGTTCTGCTGCTAATTGCTCAAGACAAGTAAAAGTAGAATGATGCCGAGGTTGTGCTTAATGTCCATGTGAGCGAGAAGCTGGTCCCAGCAGAAGAAAGCATTTTGAAGCACAGAGTAGAGCCACTTTAAATTTTCTTTTAAAGATATGATTTGTATTGGATTTTCAACTGCTTTTAAGGATTTAATGAATGAGAAGCTCTGAGTTATAGTTTATTCAGCTAAATGAATCTTGTTAAGATGGGTTTCTGGAATTCTGATTTCTAGGAAAAGGGTTTACTTGTTTTTCTCTAGAGATGTAATTGAAGATCCATCCTTACAAACCCTTTATGAAATAACAAAGGTATAAATTCACTGCCAGCAATTCTTTTGATAAAAAAAAATTACTGCCAGCAATTCTATCTACAAAATGCTGATCAATCATCCATCAAAATGAAGTGTAGACCCATCTATCTCTAAGTATGTTAGTTTCCTTGATAAACTCTTCTATCTCTCTCTCTCTCTCTTCAAACAACACAAAGTATGGAGAGAGTTTAATAGACAGCAAGTTTTTCTTCTGTTTATAGCCAGATAAGTCTTCCTAGTCCACCTTCATCAATAAAGAAGCTAAGTAATGGACTTTTTAATTCAAGTACAAGAGTAGAATGCTAAAAAAAGGACAAGAAAGTAAGAGAGGTCCAACAACTTCGCTTGCATTTTCAGATTAGCAACGCCTATTTAGCTCCATGCAAACTTCCTATTGTAGGAAATAGTAAAAATACGATTTCAACTTTAAATATGCTATTTCTTTCAAACATTTTGCATGCATAGCTTAAAGCTGTAGATTGTGAAGCTGCAAAAGAAATAGAATGCTTTAGTTCTCTGATGCAATTTTGGGCGGTTGCTATTGCTGCCATAAGATTTAGAAAGTGTATAGAAGAATCTACTACAATTGTGATGAAGATCCCAGACATAGTTACTAAAAAAGAGTTCTTTTCCACATCCATTCGACATTAAGGGGAAAGAAGGTGCAAAACATCAAAGCATGCCGCAAAAGTAGAAGGAAGGATGAACAAAAGATGCTTGAAATTAGAAATTACCAATAAAGAAAAAGCCAAAGAGCTCAAAAGTCCTCTGCTGTCTCCCACTGCTGTTCTTTTCAATCTCTACGCCTTTCGCTACTCCACTAAAAATTCCCTATGCCCCTATTGTACTCCAGATTAGTAGTTTTCACTGCTTGTCCAAGGTGGAACTGTGGCTTTGATGGCATACTTCAAAAGCAACCTATACACTTTATACCCAATTATTTTTTACTTTTTTCATCCTATGTAATATCTTAGCTTCTACATAGAGTTAGCAAGTGGTTATTCCCCAGACACCATCATTGCTTCTTCAGAAATGAAGCAATAACAAGAAAGAAAAAACCACTCAGGAGATTCCATCAACGATGCCTTTTCCTCCTAAGTAGAGTTGGTTATGGAGTTTCCTTTTGTCACAAGGCTTTTTCTAGAAAAAAGTCTATAATGAGATTCAAGAACACAAGGTCTTTTTATATGTTTTACCGATTCTTTTATAGGTCTCCCTCTACACTTTTTACTTGCATAGGCATCATAACATTGCATCTTAGCCCTTGAGCTTATGAAGGCTGTTGCTTTACGTGTCTTGACCGGCCTAAACAAGTTTCTTCTCATCATTTCTTCTGATCTAGTTTTGCAAGATGATATCTACCCTATTTCATCGAAGCTTCTTCTAGTTTCTGAACATGTTGGTACTCGATTGCATAATGTTTCCTCTGAGTAAAGCATCACTATTCTTTTTGCTGCCTTACCAAAAAAAAAAAAAATGTGAGTCGTCATTCTATGATGGCACAAGAAACTAGAGCGCTGCTCCACCTCATCCCTAATACTTGTGTCCTCTTCAATCAATAGCTTTATGCAAGATAGATTAATCTCAATTATATCTCTTTTTTACTTTTATACCGCCCAGAAGACTCTTAGGAACACATGGTATATGCTTTCTACGTGTATATGAAAACCGTGTGCAGATGTTTGTGATTATCCCCATGTTCTTGCTACCAACCTTTGTCATTGAATAAATTGCAAGCTGCCTCCTTCACTTCGTTACTTACCCTTGATTGACCACGCATACGATGAAACCAATTTTATGAAATCACGTTTCTAGCCTGAACCTATGTATTGTTATGCTTTGCAACACCTTCACTGTATAAGTTATCAATTTTATCTCTTTGTATGCAGTGTTTTTAGATCCCTATTGAAAGTCACACTGGATGCACTTTAATTAGTTAAACTGGCTAAATTACTTAACCAGTTTGTAGTAATTGAGTAACTCATCGGAGAATATTAAACAAGTGTAATATATGAAAGTGTCTTTTGCCCAGCCAAGATGGTAAAGGCGCTTTGCTACATTGTCGGGTTTGCTTGTGCAAGTCTCCTCGGAGCAATTCGACATTTTTGCCTAAAAAAGGGTGAGAAATGGTAGCTTTAAATTAATCAACATATAGCCAAACATGAAGGGTACTTTGCTGGATCTAACTTTGAAGTAGAGCTAGAGGGCTGTGGTTATGAGTCCCTTGCCTGAAATCCATATAGCCAATTCCTAGGGGTGAGCACGGGCTGTGCGGGCCGGCCTCAAGGCACTTTTTGGCCCGTCCCAAATAGACTGTGCTTGGAATTTCCAAATGTGATATCCAAGGTGGGCCCAATCATACAAGAAAAAGCCCGGACCGAACTAAATATGTCCTGGCCTGGACCGAATTTATTTTTGCTTTTCTTTTTAAGTTAAAAATGGACTAATTGTTATATATTGGGCGTGAGAAATCACCTGTCTTATATGTTTTGGCCACTTTTTCAATTCAACCCATATTGGTCCATCAATTCTCTTCATTTGATTTTAGTAATGTTGTTTTAACTTATTTATGACTTTATTAAAGTGTTTTGAGCGTAAAAAATTTATTTTCTATTATCTACATTTTCATATTTCATATTTTTAATGTATGTTTATACATTCAAAAATTAGATCGGGCCAGTTGGGGCATTTCAGGCTTGAGATCTTGGACCCAAAGGCTTGGACTGGCCTGAATAAAATATAGCTAGACCGAAATCTCGGGCCGGGCTTCTGCAGGACCTAAAAATCAGGCCTGTCCAGTCTTTTCAGCTCCCTGTCTTTCTTGTTCACCCCTACCGATCCTGATCTCTACCAATGTTGTTCTGGTTTGTTCAAATGGACTGAGTCAATGCCACCGGTTTGAGGTCTAGAAGGTTCTGGTTTACATATTAGAATTGGATCGGACCAGGTGCTTGTACCTGGTAGAGTTAATCGGTTCAGTCAGGTTTGGAGAACAATTTTTGTAGGCAGCACCATTTGTTATGTCTCCTTAATCTATACAGATGGACTGAAGTGTTCTTACTCTCTCTTGGGAATTCTTGAATTGGAAAGTTCATACCAGCAGGATATTGCAGTAGATGAAACGAACAGGTGAATTATAGCTTAAGAGAGGAACTGATTATAGAAAGATAACTACAAGTTTCCACGGAGATATGTTATGGTTCTTGTTAACAAGTGCCCCCTAGGGCACTAGTTTTGTTAACTAAAAATAGAAATAACACTTTCTAAGACACTTTGAAAATTGAAGAAGTACAGATTTTAAGAAAATCACTTACTTCAAATGGTAAATTTATATTTCCAAAGCTCATTTGATAAGGCTTAACAAGTTCCCTAAGGTACTCTTTAACAGTTTCCATATGTAATAGATCCTTAATGATTGTTTCACTGTATGGCTTTTCTTAGTAGTACATGTGATGAATCGAGTAATAGATTCTTATAAGTTAAGCATGCGAGGCTTTGCTTTCCTCACTCATTAGTTGCCATATTATCTTGATGCATACCCACAAAGAAGGTGCTCTGTCTCGATTTGTTTGGCACTTTCCCCTTTCATGAGATTTTGTTGATAATATATTAAGCCAAAAATCTGTCTTCTCCATATTTTTCCATATTTCTATAGGTATGCCATCGGGATTGAAACCATTGTCATTTTTTCATGGCATCAAAACTTCCTTTTCCATGTTTTTTTGTTCAAATGAGGAACTATTGTGCTCTTTATGAATTTTCAACTCTTCTAATGACATACGCAACTACTATATGTCTTTCTAGTAGGTGACAACACACCCCCTCCCAAAAAGAGAACGAAGAAATAACTCTTCTTGTAATGTGTGTATCTTCTACATGAGTTGAGGATTTCTTTCAGATGAGTTGCAGTTGTATACAATATATGGAGTGATAATGGTGGGGAAGTTTGCTGAAAATTGAACAAAGAAATGGCTGAAACTTTAAGTTGTCATCAATTCTAAAGCAGATGGTTGCTTGTTTTCATGGCACTTCTTTAGAAAATCAAGCAAGTCAAGGAGTTGTATATGTGCTATTTTTGGTTGTGGGCTGCGTTGAACAGGAAGCAAAAGAGCTTTTTCTTGAAATTAAGACTTAAAATAGATGAAGTAAAAAAAAATCTTAAACAATTGACAAAATTAGAGATGTGCCTCTCAGAAACAATCTTGGTTCTTCCAGTCTCATCAGATACAAATATAATGTTCTTCAGTCTCTAAGAAAGCCAAGGATGACTGCAATTTATGGAGTATGGGTACAACAGGCTATTAGGCATAGAAAACTTTCACCTTCGCTTGTTGGTTTGATGATGTTACAACGGTAATGATTTAAGTTCCAGTCATAAAGCAGTTGTCTTGTGTTTCTCTCTACTAGGGATATTATGGAGTTGCACAAACCCAACTTTCTTTGCTTAACCACATCAACCTGAGCCAGATTAATGTGTGAGCTTGTTTAAGCATGAGTAAAAAGTATTAGACTTTAAGATTAATTCATTACCCTTTTGCTGTGACAGCACACTTGATGAGTAAATTTGTTTAGCAAGAGCCACAGGCAGCTGTTTTTTCTCATTTGAAGGGGAATTGGGAATTGTTTGACCTTGATTAGTTACCTTCATCTGGAGAAAATGTAAACTCCACATTTGGAAATGCAGTGAAAATAGTGCTTATATTGATGAGACATAAGAAAAAATTTCTGGTAGGATACAGCTTGCTGCTGTCAATACTCCAATGCAGACTGTTTTATTCTTTCCTTCTTTTCATTTGTGAATCATTGTAGAAAGTGTAATTAATATAGGAGGAATTAGTGAGCACATTCTCAGTAATCATGCAACAACTGTCCCAATTATAGTCCAAGATGTCGTAGGTTTTAGAAGATGCCTCTGGTTGGTTTGTTTTACTATTTCATGGTATAGAGCTCTCATCATTTTCCATGTTGTTGAGAATTGATGAAATAGTTTTATGTTTGTTGAATTGTAATTATTGAAGCATCAGCCCATCTCCATAATATGCAGAACTGCAAAAAATTAGTGAGGTTGCTAATTGGATAATGGCAGGGTCCATTAAGAGGAACTTGTAGCTTGGTCTGGGCTGTATAGTTGTAATGATAGCAAAATCTTTTTGCTTTTAATCCCTACTTTTTTTGTCATCTAAAAGGAAAGAAATAGGCGAGATTTTAAAGATGAGGAAAGTTCAAATGGTGCTGTAAAGGATATTTGGCTTTTCACCTTAATTTTTTGGCATCGTGTGACACTTTGACAAAGATTTCTTTTTTCACTCTTGGATATTTTCTAGCTCCTAGGTTGTAGATGGGAGGCAGCCCCTTGGTGCTCTTTAATATACTTACTACCAAAAAAATGCATGTCTCGATAATTAAAGTGTTAGGACAAACTGGAGTTCAAACTACAAACAGATGGAAGACTGAAAAAAAAAACACGACAGGCTCATTATCATGTAAAAGGCTAGTGATGAAGTTGATACCAGGATATTGTGCTATCGAATCATGTTCTTGGAATGTGGTGATTGAAAGCTGATTAGGATCAACGTTGTGGACAGCAATTACAGAAGTGTAGGAGAAAACCTATAATTCTTTGAAATGTGTGTGGTGGATAATCATCAAATCTACAAAGTAAAAAAGTAATACATCTTTTAAGTTTCGGATAAAGTCAATCTGTGGTTTCCCTCTTTTTGCAATCAAAGTGAAATTTATAATGTGAGATTTTTGTTATTATGGATCAGTTTGAATTTTGGGTTAGTACTTATCTTTTTGTCACCCTGAAGAGATGGTCTTCGTTCTATTACATTTACCATTTTATGTCCACCCTCTCCTTCTCCTCTAATTTATACAAAGGATGGTTTAGACTTTTCTATTGTAACCACTTTCACATTTTACAGGAATATCTTGTTTAAATGTCGAGTAGATGTCTTTGCAGATTTCTTTAGAGAAGGAAGAACACAAGAAAAAGTCGTGGGAGAAAAGAACATGGGCACAGAAGAACCGTGTGATCAAGCATGATTAAATAACTGCCACGCTTGATTTTATTTGAGAAATTAAACTTTTGGGTCCATCATAACTACTGGAAAGGGAAATTGTGGCATCACAAGGTTCCTGTGTCACACTTGACTACTTTCACAACTGTTACCTCACACTGACCTCAACAATGACCTCAACAATCCTTCTTCATACTTCCGTGTTGAGTCTTGACTATCAGTCAATATGGGCTTTGAAGCCCATCTTGATAATAATGTCTAACAGAAAATGCTTGATGTCCCCATTCTTGACCCCCGTCGTCTGGTATCTTTTGTCAGCCGTCTTTGCGCTTCGATCAAACTTAACTGCATTACTTGTGTCCATGTATTTGGGATAGGAGAAACTTTGCTATTATTGATAAATCAGAACTTCTGCACTCCAGAAGGCATCCCTTTTTTTGTTGTTCTGTGTCAATTGTCATCACTGAAGAGATTCCTGTGTTTTGCCAGCTCTTGCTGCTTTCTGCCCCTCTGCTTTAGCTGGATACTGCTTTTCACCTTCAATGACTTAGAACTGGTTTACTTTGCACTTCATCTTCATTGTTTTTATTAGGTTAGTTAGGACGTGATGTGACATCTGCTCTGTCTTGTCTACAATCAGATATATGGATATGATAACTAGAGAAGCAGGGATCTTCAATCACAGCATTTACCTAAACAATGACGTGTTCATTTATTTATTTATCTATTTATTTTTGTTGTAATTTTTAGGTTGATGTGGAAAGGATACAGGGACAGGCTCACGACAGGCTTACAAGCAAACTAGCGGCTCTGAGGCACAAGGCTGAAGAGAAGAGAGCAGCCGCCGAAGCCAAGAGGAACCGTCAAGCTCTAAAAGCTGAGCAACAAGCAGAGTACATTCGCAATACTGGCCGCATCCCTTCCTCTTTTAGCATTTGCAGTTGGTGCTGTTGAATGCCAAGAATGTTCAACGTACTGATGCTCACCTTGTCACAATGACGCTGTTGCCGTCAGCGATTAAGTGCACGAGAATGTTTATATACGCCGATTAGTTCAAAGATCAAAGACCCTGACCCATTTTTCCTGGTCAATGGGAAAATGGATGTAATTGTAAGTAGTCAAGGAAAAGGACCTTCTCGAAAAGGCATTGTTAGAACTTTATTTATTTATCTTGTTGTACATTAAACTTTTTCCGTTGTCGTGTACGTGCTGAGAAATTCCATGGGGAAGTAATGCTTAATCTGCCTCTGTTTGAGCATGACTGCTTAAATGTCACTGTGCTTGCGAGGAACTTCTCTCATATTCTTTTGATTGAGCCTTCCTTCTATACCATAGCCAGTGACTAATTTTCTTTGTTTTCCCTGTTTTTTACTCGCACATCACACTGCACTGCAAATGGGAAGAGCAAAATCTCTATGAACGTGCTTGTTGATGCACAGCATTAGCAATTTTAGTTTTAGTTTGAGGTCAGCCCGAATGTTGCTTCGTCAATGGAAATGACAGGTGAAATCGCATGAACCGGTTTAATCCATGCAATATGTCATCGTCGAAAATGAAATCTGCAGTAATAATCTCTGAGATGGAAGATGGTGTGGAGTCTATTTCTTTCTTATTTTTTTAGTAGTATATAGTATTTATATGAACAATGTGGAGTCCATTTCAATCCATCGTTTCATTTACATATTTTAATCTTCTGAGTACACCTTAATGCTTTTAGATGTCCATCTTTGTTAGTGCTGAATAATTGGTCAGTAAAGAGAATGATGTATGGAATGTAATGGAAGTTCTTAATGGCCCAATGATGTTTATAATAATTTCTACTTTGGTGATAGAGAGATAATTGTCATCATTAGAGCTAATCGCAAAGTCAAGGTAGTCCAAGACTTGTCAAGATCTCATGCTACATCAACCATTTGTTTTTTTTCCATTTATATTTCATAAAAGAAATCAGCTTCCACTAATCCACATCTCAGGGTGATTTGATTATATTTATGTGCAGTTCTTCTTAATTCCTCCCGATTGAAAGCTTTGTCGCCGTTAAATTAACTGGAATTTTATTAATTAAGTGTTAAATTATTACCGATCTAGATGTGTGATCTGACTCTAAAGCTTGATCTACACTCATGTGAGCTATAAAAAAATGTTCCATTTGCACTAATTATAATCTTTTTACACTTTCTCCCCATTTAAAAAAAGCCAAGTGCTACTACCATCCCTCACTAATCCATTTAATCATCAACCACTTAGTGCTTGGGCCCAAAAAACAAGAAAAAGAAAAACTAGTTAGTGGGATCCATGGCGCCAACCCAAGACAAAACAATTATATCTTTTGTCAGTGTTACAGAATTTGCAGATGAAGATCAGCATTTTCCATATTAAGAAAGTGGGTGTCTGCCCTCTGGAATGGGAGTAGACATGTGAAAATCCACACACGAGAGAAAGTGGAATTTGGGTGGTGAAGGCAGCCCACACGTGGCGAATCAACACATTGTTTTTGGGTTATTGGGTGTTGCTTTCAACTATGATTAAGTGTGCTGCAAGAAATGACAGATTCATTTGGGCCTGCTTTATGCCAAAAAAAATCATGAGACTGTAGAAGGTGGAGAAAAAAGAGAAGTTGGTTTTGATTTCTAAGTGGTGGGCGCGTTGGACCATTTTGAAAAACTTGTAGTTATCATTTTTCAAAAAATGACTAATTCCCGGATTATTTATATTATGTGTGTGTTGCGTTTGTTTCGTGGAAAATCATCGATTTGAAAAATAATTTTCTAAAAATGATATCGCCTATAAAAATGAATGAACGAAAAATATTTTTATTATTCACGAAAATGTTTAAACATAAATTATTGTCGATAATGAAAATATTTTTCAACGACTAAGTATTTCAAACAATACAAATAATTTTTTTTAGGAATATATTTTTCAAATTATTCATTTTCTGTGAAACAAATAGAGCATAACACATTCACGCAATGAATAACATGTCCATATAAAATTAATGGGGAAACGTCTGCGACCAACTAAGAAAAACGGGAGAAGTCCTGTTTTGTGAACTTTGCGGTAATGGAGGATAATGTTTCAAAGTATGATTGCATATTTTAATCAATGCGTTTGAGAAGACTATTGAGAGCAAATTAGTGGCCTAATGCTTATCCATAGCTATCATAGAGGAGATGACACTAATTAATTAAAATTAACATTTCCCATTGGCATTTTTCCCCCGCGAATAATGGTGTTTCCGGGTTTCTCGCTCGAATAAATTTCATTTTTCGGTCATTGAAATTTCGGATGACTCGCATTTGGATCACCGTACCTTAATTTCATGCACCGGGTGCGTTGAAACTCAGTTTGTATATTCAATCGATGCACCTCGACGTTTCCTAATCAAATTTTCAGGATATGTATTAGTCATCAACATTGCTAAACATTACAATTAATATTTTGCTCATATGGAAAATGAAACTCCATTCATACCTTGCTTTTTTTCTTTCTCTCTCTTTCTTTGATTTTTTAACATTTCTCAAAGGCATTAATTATCGCTCCTAGATATTTTTTCCTTTTATGAACTAAGGTGAGAGCTCGTCTATGCATGAAAAGACAAGCTAAGCATGCGTTGCCCCCACGATTAGTTGTTTGACTATTTTGTGGACTGTGGTCGGGCCAACATTATAAAATTAAACCTTGATCTATCACGCAATGTTTGCCCTATGGCGTGCAAGCAGCCAGCAACCACTTACATCTCAACTTCTAATTACATAATATTTAATTGACAAGTGGAAGAGGGAGAGTGATCGTAAATGCTAGAAAGTTGGTTGTCAATGTGGGTTGTAGGACATATTAAAAAAATAGCGAAATAAGTGCCTCGAAAGACTAAAAACTTATAGCGAAAGAGCAATCAAGTCTCGAAAGTGCAATAGGTCTGACTTATCCAAAATGTGCAATCAAGTACTTCAATTAGTTTCGTTATCTTTGGGAATGGAAAAGCTCAACGTACCTTTTTCTAATAGTCATGACTTTTGGCACTAACAACAAATGTCTAACAAAATATTAGAATAGTCACTATGGATTTCTTTTTAATTTAAAATAGACAGAGCCATTGAAAATAATTAATTGCCTATTCCGACAAATTTTAGGACTCGATTGCATTAGCTATAGATTTTAGGGAAAATTATTCAAAAAGTCTTAAACATATTGTATGGCAGTTAATTCAATCCCAAACTTTTCAATTTGGCCAATTTAGTCATAAATTTTTTTATGATTTATCAATGTAGTTAATTCGGCTAATTTTGGCCAAAAATCATTGACGTGAACAATTGTTTCAATTTTTTAAAAATTTTATGATTTTTTTTCTTTTTTCCTTTTCTATTCTATTATTTACTTTATTCTTTTTTCCCTATTCCCTCTGCCGGTCGCCGGGTCTTGGTGATGGCTGTAGGCGAGCATCGCCCTCATTGACCACCCTCGCCTAGATTCGACGAGAGCGTCGTAGCCCTTGCCTGCCATTGCCTATGGCCAATAACCTCTGTGGACCATTACCGAGGCCCCAACGATTGGCGGAGGGAAGAAAGGAAGGAAAAAAATATTAAAATTGCAAAAATTGCCAACGTCAACGATTTCCAATCAAAATTGCCTGGAAAATTTATATCAGCAAATTGTTAAAAGAATTAGGACTAAATTGGTCAAATTGAAAAGTTTAAGAATAAATTGGCCGCCATACAATAATTTTTGAATTTTTTGGACAATTATCTACAGGCTGGGATTTACGACTTACTACATTTTCTCACTGAGTTTTAGCACTTATGGAGCACGATCCCAATAACTATCGCACTACCTCTAACACGATTTGGATGTAATTACCTCCGATTTGGGGGATGCATATTCAAATACAATCTCGGCAATTGTCGCACTTTTATATCAAATCATCTCATAACATTTTGTTAAATACACTTTTAACTAATCTCTCATTTATTCAATTTGAAGGTCACGAAGTTTCTTGCTACCTCTACTCAATCCCAGTAGATAAGTTGAGGAGGACAGGATAAAAAGTAACGTAAAATATTTTTAGTAAAAGATGCGTATAAAAGATCTTTGACAAGGCAAATTAAAGCAGCCATATAGGGTAGGGGGATGTTATGTAAAAAAATCAAACCTCCACCATTGTGGCTGGTCTAGTGGTAAGATCACCACAAAGTCACAAGCTCGATTCGGCCTGTGAGCAAACCTCTAAACAACTTGCTCTGCGTTGCGTTGTCTAACTACGACAAGTCTCATGTGAAGAGATTTTTCAGTTGCTAGTATCACGGGAGACGGAATAATTATGACTCAAATCCAATATTCGAAAGAAGTTATTGGATATTAATTGTCTCCCTCTACCTTTTCTGTTTTTTGGTCAATGAAAGCACATCATATTGTTCGGGGGAACCCTAGATATTGTCCCCACGGTTGAAGTAATTTGCAAGAAACGAAAAGGAAAAGGAACAGATAAAGATGTGAAAATGTCAGCGAAGGCACACAAGTTGGCAAAGGTGGTGAAGCACGGGCGCATGTCCAAGACATAGGACGGTTGACGTTCTTTTCATAGCAAGTGGCTCTCAATCCTCTTGGATTTGTGTGCACTAGGATCAATAGGACTCGATTAAAGTACAAACGAACGACTGAACGAGTAAAGCTGTGTTTCGTACTCCATAGAAACCAATTCGAAAAAGGTAAAAGACCCTTCTTTTATAGCATCACCGGGGATGAAAATCACAGCCAAATTATCGGACCCTTTGTGAGCTGTTGGATGACCGACGACGGTAGCCGGCCATTAATTGGCAATCATCGTTAGTGGTTGGCTCGTCGGCCGCCGATTGTCGGCCGTTTAAATTGGGCTCGATTGCATTGCTGTCGTTTTAACTCATGACGGGGTAGAAATGCCAAAAAGACAAAAGCGACGGGCAATGAGAGAGAGGATTGATAATGTACAACAACTCGAGGTATTGAGATTAAGTGCCAAGTGATATGATAATATATGCGATGTTATTTAAATGAAATTTTTTGTTCTTTTTACGTGTAATCGCAAGTTGTAAAATTATTGGCTATTCACCCCATTATCGAGTAAACATGTCCCGCGCGAAAGTTTGTTAAGATCCTTGGCATTGCTATAGAAATTTATGTTTCATGAGCACTATAGTTCAGTGGACTTGATGGATTGTAATGTTCGACGATTATGTGTTATCAGCAAAGATTTGAGCACCTTGATTGTTATGATATTGCATAGACTAGATGATAATTTTTTTGGGAAATTACATTTTTGATCCCCTTTATTTTGGGGAATTTCGATTTTGGTCCTCGTACCTTCTTCAGTTATAATTCTAATCCTCGTCTCCGGCGAACAATTTAAGTCTTTCCATCGAATTTCCGTTGAATTTTTGCCAGAGATTGCCGAGTTAGCACTGGTAAGTAACTCATGGTGCCTATTTGTACAAGCCTCTAAAACAAATTACACTTTTGGTCCCTCTATTTTTTGAAGTGTTCAAAATTAATTCTTATAATTTATATATGCAACAAAGCTAATCCTCATTGATGAAATTTTAAGTACAATATTTTACCCTTCCATCCCAAATACGACTTAAATGACATTGACTAAAACTTAATGCATTAGGTGTATGTGTATAAGTTTTTATGTTTAAGATTTATGGTTTTATTAGTAATAATTGATAAAGCTTTTCTAAGCCATTTACTATTTAATAATAGAGATTGATCGGAAGAATTCACATAAATTGTCTAAAATATGACGCCTATTTAACGTTTTTCTACAAGTAGTTCTAAGTACGTTTACATGGATCTGAATTGAAAACGATGATGGCTTTATTGAATACTTGGAATTAAATCAGATTGGATAAACTTGTATATGTAGACATCACTAATTAAGTTTGTCTAGAGTTGACATTTTCATAAGATTTCGGATGGAAGCGTGAAAAAATAATTATCTTTCCTTGAAAAATAAGGATTGGTTTTAACACAATAACAAAGTACGAGGACTAAAATTCATCGTTCCAACAACTTACATGGACCGAAAGTCTAATTTGTTTTAGAAGCTTGTACATGTAGACGTTGCGTGCCAATAACCAATGCTAACTCAGCAATTTCCGGCGAACTTTGAACGGGAGATTTTGATGGAAGGCCTTACATTGTCGCGGGAGAGTAGTACGAGGACCAGAATTGTAACCAAACAAAGTGTAAGGACTAAGCGCGAAATCCCCCAAACTACAGGGACCACAAATTTAACTACCTCACCCCACCCCTTCTCCTTGTAAATAATCACTCCTGAGAAAATGGATGATAAAATTCTCTTTGGAAAAGCAAGATTTGCTGGTGAAGATGAAGATTGTCCATCTTTGCAGATGGTGGAATAAGGAGAGTGATAACAATAGACACTACACAACTGAACTTGACCCAGGAGAAAGAACTATAAGTATCTGATCATCTTGTTCTGCAGAGCCACCAACCTCTAGTACCAGAACGTGCATCAAATACCAGAAACTTCAGCATAAAACTTGGCATATCCGAGCATTTCGTCACGAATGAAGTAATCGGCCGTCTGAGATTCAACACTCGAAACAGCACCCTTCTTGTGACATGAATCGGCGTAGTTCAAAGGACTACCGCTAGAAATTTGCATGGACGAAAAGGGCCGGGGCAGAACTGGTTGATAAAGGGGAGCTCGACAAAGTGAGGAAAACTGATGAAGACGGAGATACTCTCCAGCGTAATGCTTCACAAGCATAAGATGAGTCTGCGTCGAGCTGCGTGTGGCTTAGTTGCTCCACGACTCGGTTACCTCATGAACAAAAAATGACAAGCTTTAGGATAACAAGACTAATTCATCTAAGTCTGTCATTTGTACAGGATCTTGCTGCGATATGAGCACATAAGCAGATACCGATAGAAAAGATAGTGCAAAAAAGGATCCCGTTTAACTTCGAATTTGCATCTCACCATCACAACTAAAACAAGAACAATGATTACTCGTATAAGTTGGAACTGGAAAGGTAATGCGCTAGTCTTCAGTGGAGAGAAACTAACTTCAATGCCAGGAGTTATTGTGCAATGCCTTTATTCCAGATACTTGTAACAAAGAACTCTAGGAACCGAGTTTCAAGTATTTACAGTAGACATGTATGTCGGGAAACAAAAAAAAAAAAATCACTTCCACACTGCAAAAAGGACTCCAGCAGTACATCTAGAGCTCCTTGCAATTGCCAAAAAACGGCTCGACACCGACGCCAACACTGTCGAGCCAGGAAACTAGCTGCTGGGTCGATGGCCTCACTTTCGGGCTATCATTTAAGCAAAGGCAGGCGATCTCAAAAACCCGCAACATTTCCTTGTCATGCTTCGTGCTGTAAATGGAACGATCAAACACCTCACTTTCCCTGGTCTCGCTCTTCATCTTAATCACCCAAGAGATCAAATCCCGACACCCCTTGGGCTTGCACATATCCATCGGCCTTTTCCCCGTGACAAGCTCCAAGAGGACAACGCCGAAACTATAAACATCGCCTTTGTAAGTAGCAACAGAGGCCATACCGTACTCGGGAGGAATGTAACCCAGTGTCCCAACAAGATCAGTAGTCACATGAGTATCGTAAGCACACATGAGCCTCGCAAGACCAAAATCAGCCAAGTGGGCTTCAAAGTTCTCATCTAAAAGGATGTTACTCGACTTTATATCTCGATGAACAATATGCGGCTCGCACGACTGGTGCAGATATGCAAGTCCTCTTGCTGCTCCTTGAGCGATTCGGAGCCGTGTGCACCAATCTAGCGAGGAAGGCCCATCTGGTTTCTCGTGCAACCAATAGTCCAAGCTACTGTTTTCCATGTAGGAGTATATTAAGAGCCTCGCCTCTTTATCCATGCAAAATCCTTGAAGATGGACGAGATTTGGGTGTCGGGCTCTTGAGAGAGTTTCAACTTCAGCACAGAATTCTCTCTCCATCTGCCCACAATCACCAGAGAGCTTCTTGATCGCCAACTTCGTGCCATCGGGGAAGGTGGCTCTGTAAACCATCCCGAAACCCCCACACCCTATGATATTCGCTTGGTCAAAATCGTTGGTGGCTCGTGAGATATCCTCGTATGACAGCTTTTCACAACTGTCCTTGTTTTGGAACATAACCAATAATCGGGACTCCAAGTCTTCGATATCCCTTTCTCTTCTCCCCTCCACCTCCTTTTCAGGGTCAACCTCTCCCCGCCTATGTGCTCTCGCCAAAATCATGACCATAATGGCCAGAAGAAATGTTGCCCCAAATGCAATTCCGATGACCATTCCGACGTTTCTATTCCTCGTGGCATCATCGGCTGATTCAGGATCATTTCGACCGCCTGAGCAGGGGGGAGCATGATCACCACACAGTTTGGTTCCTTCAAAACTCGAATTGGGAAAGGTAGGGAATTGGCCCCCGTTGGGAATTGGCCCGGACAAATTGTTATGTGCAACATTGAACTTGGACAGAAAGTTGAGACGCACTAATGAAGAAGGGATACTTCCCGACAGATTGTTGTAGGACAAATCGAGAATCTCTAGGCTAGTCATTCCGGATAAACTGTCGGGAATCGAACCTGATAAGAAATTATGGCTGAGATCTAAGATATGGACATTTTTTAAATTCCCGAACTCGGGCCAGATTGATCCGTTGAGAGAGTTGCTTCCGAGCGACAAGGTCGGTGGAAAGCTTGTAACTTGATTGTACTGCAGCCCCCTCACGCTCACATTTTTCTTCATGAAGAGTGGAAAATCAGGAGAAGGTTCCTCCACTGACAGATTTCTGTTGATGAGGCCAGGCAATTCTGTAATCTCTTTTGGGATCTCGCCCACGAATGAGTTGTTTGATAAATCCAGATAAAAAAGAGATTGGAAGTCGCCAATCCACGACGGGATCATTCCACCCAATCTGTTCCAGGACAAATCCAGCAACTGCAAATGCGTGCATGCACGCACCCACTGCGGCATCAAACCCTTCAGTCGGCTATTCGCCATGATAAGAATCTTAAGCTTCGGAAAACTCAAACTCGCATCGCCGGGCAATTCTTCATCAAAGTAATTGAGAGTGAGAACCAAAACTGTCAAATTGTTGCAGTGCTGAAGGATCCCAAGTGCAGATGAGACATTCGATAGGCTCGAATTCGAGATCGACAGATAAACAAGGCTGGAGAAGTTCTGGAAGCTTTGAGGTATTGGGGTTGTGAACTTGTTCCGTGCAAGGTTCACATTCTGCAGCTTCTGGCAATTGGGCAAATCCTCAGGGAAAGGACCCCTGAAAATGTTGGAACCTAAATCCAGAGACACCAGGCTGCTTAATGCCGAACAATTGAGAACTATCGTACCGGTCAGCGAGTTGTTCCTCAAATTGAGAAACGTAAGCGATGGCGAATTGGACAAGGAAGACGGGATGGAGCCCGAGAAGCCATTGGTCTGAGCTATGAAGTACTGCAGCTTCTTCATGTTCTGAAACACATCCGGTACTGGACCCCAGAATCCGTTTGTCGAAATGTCCAGCCAAATCAGTTCCGTGAGATTACCGATCCCGCCGTCGAGCGGCCCTGAAAACGAGTTTTCCTGAAGGTTCAATTGGACCAACTGACCCAGAGTGAAGATATCTTCACTGATCCCACCCGTGAGACTATTCGTGGCCAGAGACAGGTTCTGCAGGGAGCCACAATTGCCGAGTCCCGGCGGGATAACGCCAGAGAAATAATTGACAGCCAGATTAAGCACCTGAATGCTGGTCGAGTTCGCGCATATCCACACGGGCAGAGACCCATCGAAAGAGTTCTCGGAGATGTTGAAAACGCGCAGCAAGGGCAGATTGACGCTCTCGGGCACCGGCCCGGAGAATTCATTGTAGCTGAGATCGAGGACCTGCAAATTAGGGAGGTGGAGTAGCGACTCGGGGAGTGTCCTCTCGAGGAGGTTGTGAGAGAGATTGAGGAGCCTGAGCTGGTCCAACTTGCCGAGCGAGTCCGGGAGGCTGCCCGCGAGCTTCTTGCTCGCGAGGACCAACTCCACCACTCTGCCCGAACTAGAGGAACCGCCGCCGCTCAGGCCGAGAGAAGACGAAGAGTTGCACACCACGCCCACCCAGTCGCAGCAATTGTCGGACGCATTGAGTCCCCAACCGTGGACCGGGGACCCGAAGTTGCCCATCAAGTCCTGCAACGCTTTGGAATCGCTCGAATTGCACACGAGGGCCCCTCGAGCGTGCAGGACCTGCGCCTGGACGCACAGCCAAGAGACGGCGACGACCACCCACAGCGAATCTCGGACACCCATATGAAAGAAACAGAGCAACCCAAGAAACGAAAACCCCCGAATACGATGGGCCGCAGGAAACAGCACGAGAAAGCAACGGGAAGGCAAGAGGGCGGCGGAGGGATCAAGTGACGGAGAGACCCATCAGGAGAAGGATCAAGATTCGCGAAGCGCGAGAGCGTGCGAGCATGAAGGGAAGGGGGGAGACAGATGATGAAGAGAAGGATAAAGAAGGGAAGAGGAGGAGGCTTTCCTCCTTTTCTTTGCTTTGCTCTGCTTTCGCTTTGCTTTCTCGCTTGCGTCACCGGTTACCAAAGAGAGAAGAATAAAGAAAAGAAGAGAAGTGGGGCGAGAGAGAGAGAGACAGTGAGAGAGATCGTGTGCGTGCGGTTTGACTTCACACGCGCTTGTTGGGTCGGAATACCAAACCCAATTGCTGCTCCAACTCCTACTCCTACTCCTACTCCTACTCCTCCGCCGCCGCCTACTCCTCGTCCACACTTTCAGACACGGCAGGGAGGAAGCGGGACGGACAGAAGCAGAGCGTGAAGCTTTCCGTTTGGGAGGAAGGTGGCGGTTGCTCAAACGGGAAGAAGAAGAAGGAGGAGGAGGAGAAGCAGGGGAGGAGGAGGAGGAGGAGAAGCAGGGGAGAAACCGGTGAGCCTCGAGATTCACGACGTAGAGACAGGGGAGGGAGAGGGAGAGGGAGGGGGAGGGGGGAGAAAGTCAAAGGGTTTGATGGCGACACGTGGCGGGAATCCAACAAAATCTACGCCGGGCCGCCATTAATGTGTGCAGTTGTGTTGGGTAGGGGGGGCGTAATTAATTCACATTTTTCTCATTTCCTATTTTCTTATTCTTGCTTTTTGTTATTTTGCTGCCTTAGTATTTTTTTTTTAATAAAAAGAGAAAACAACCAAAGCCCCCCGAATTATTCCCACCGAAACAGATTTATCTTGAATTAATCACAAATTATGTCCACCGGGACACATTTGCCCTCCATCAAAATTTTAACGTTGTTGACATGGTGACATAATAACAACGGCGTTATTTTGGCCGAAAAATCATTTAATGAAACCTCGACGGAGGATTAATGTGTCATATATATACAAATTTTGGATTTTTTTTCGCAAGAAAGAGTTTATGGTAAATGTGTCACAATCAACATAGTTTGAGATTTTTAATGTCACAAAAAAAAAAGTTCAGAGTGAATTTACAGTATAATTTGAGGTTTTTGATGATTTTTTTTCCTTTTTTTTTTGGTGAGGAAGTTTTTATTCTCGTTTTCATGAGAATCTATGAAAAGTTTAATTTATCTATTCCGGTTGAACTCAGGCATTTTACCGAAAAGCGCAATATTTTTTAGGGGGCCAGTGAAAGGTGTTAGAAAATTATCTGCCAGAAATTATTGAGTGGACTTAATATTTGTCTCAAAATAAATTGGTAAATCTCTCCTTGGGTTTCATGTAAGCTGTTGACTTCGATGAATTTTAAATAATTTCTCGGTTATAGCCCCCCCACCTTTTGTCATCTACAAGCAATCTAATTCTCCTGCCATCGTTCTAGGGTTTTGGCATGGATCCAACGTCTGACTAATCCCACTCGATTAGTGCTTTTTCCCACTGCAATCGTGTTGATTAGTGTAGGTAAATTGACTTTTTAAGGATATTACTTTAATTATTACTCCGACATATGACCCGGTTATAAGATTTAGCGTTTGAGTTTTAATATTTCGATAACCGATTGATTCGGCTCTTACAAGAATAATCGAAAGGATGTCAAATTTATCTGTTAGCAAAGAAATGATGTAAATATTTGCAAATTGAGTTCGATCCGCGACATCATAAAATTCCGAGTTATCTACTCATGCTTCGTCCTGGATTTAATTTGTTCACGAGATTAGTAAGGTATATTATATGTCCAGAGTTTCTCTTTAAAAGCTTGACTTCTCCTTTGAAAAAGATCGCAACGCAAATTGTAGTTGTTTATTGCATAATCATGATTTTTGTTTTCAAAACATAATCATAACTTAAAAAGAGGTATAATGAGACCTCCACAATTTAATTGGAGAGTTGTCCACGATATCAATCATAACACTCCATTCTCCATTAAATTGGTTGGGTATTACGCGGTAGTCACGGAGGACTAAGACGGAACATGAAATGGAAACCAAATTACAAGGAAAGAAAAAGGACGAGTCACACCGTTTTTTATAAGGTTACAAGCTCGATTCGTATCGTATTATGTGGTATAACGACTTAGAACGAACATTCTGTAGTGGATGTAGGACCCTTATAGAATAATACCCCAAGGAATAGTTGCCCTAGTTGCCCCTCTTTACATTTTTACCTAGAGATACATGTATTAAAAAGAAATAGGATTAATATCACGGAAAACCCGAAATGGTACACCTGTGGCAAATTTACCCAAAATTAATTTTTTGACCACCAAAAACCTCAAACTGGTACACCCGTGACAAATTTACCCTCCGTTAGTTTCCGTTAAATTTTACCGTCAAATTGCTAAGTTGGATGATACGTGACAGTTGACAAGTGTACCAGTTGGATGACACGTTAGTTCAAGGTAACCCAACAAAATATAATTATTTCAGTCGTAGTCACTTTTCTACATTCTTTTTGTATTTGGTATTCGAATCGTGATACCTTCAACTGAATAGTAACTTTAGGGGCTTAACCCGCTCCCGTGTGACCGCGAGTGAAATATTAATAATATAGATGCCTATTTAGACACATTCGCGACGATTGATCGAGCCAGATGTTCGGATATCGCGGCCCAATGGGAGAGAAACCAAATCCCAAGATGATGTGAACGAAAATCGCCCAGATTTGTCTGACTTCTTCCTCACAGTTCCACCGTTCCTGTCACTACAATTCCCATCAATTGGAAGCGTCATCGCTGAAGACCACCTGGTGTCGGGGTTGAACTTCGACTCCATCTTTAACTTTTCCCCGTCGCTTATGAATTTTCTGATTCTTCAAAGTCAAACGTGAAAGCGAAACGACGCTTGGAAAATCAAAATATGGAGATGGCGGATTGCGACTCCTTGCCGTATGACGTACCAAAAAAATGAAGACTCGAGGACTAAGGAGTGGCATGATCCCACGGGATTGACCCGATTGCCCGTGAGTTTATCGTCCAAATCTGACGAGAGGCGAGCGTGTGCGTTCAAGGTTCAAAGCTTCATGCCTCTCTTTTGTTTCTTTCTTTGGTGTCATCGATAATCAACTTTGGACATTTTGGGGGTTTGCCCCCTTGGTACGTTCTTGCTATAATTCCACTCCTAACGTAATCAATGGAAAAATGGTAAAACTTCGTGGAAGAAAAAGAAGAATGTGGTGGGATTTTTCTCGGTCCGCCTTCGAGAGAAAGCGTATTTTTCAACGAAGGGTTTGGAAGGACGTTATCGCATACAATCAAAATTTATATTTATTTTGTGAATTAAGTTTAGATTCACGTACATTCGATTCTATTATAGATGCGACGTGACCGTGCGTTACAAGAGTACTGGCCATTAACCCGCGCTTTGCGTGAAGCATTTTAGATAGTAATTTGTTGTCCATCTTGCGAATCGAGATCTACCGTTGGATCCCATGAACTCTTTCGGTACTTATAAATTCAGATTGAGAAGAGTTCCATTGTTACACCAGCTGTATTTTAAAGCTGGCAAGTGAGGAATGTCGAGTCATTTGTTGGAGAGCTTTCCCAATAGTTCGTTGCCAATGTCAGTAGGACTGTGCAAGTCCGGACATTCAAAAGTCAAAAAGTCTTCTCTATGTGTAAAACTGATGGGGTATTTACGGTGAGCGGATAAAAAGGAATTCATTAACAGGATTACGCCACGTGGCAATCCCGGCATCGGAAATCAAGAGAATAGTTCGCCGCGTGTTAGAGGGACACACGCCGATCATAGATAGCCACATGCCCGGGGGTACACGAGCCGACACCAAAGCCATTAAAAAGGCTGGAGAATAAGGCGAACCATCCTAAAACATTTCAAACTAATGAAAATAATCTCAGATCGCACCACCGATTTCAAGTTATGGTCACGTGGAGTGATTTTCCTGGTAAATGCATAAGTAATATATCCATTTTCCATAAAAAGAAAATAAAGAAGGAGGAAAAGACAAGTGTTACCCATCTAGAACTAAACGAGGATGATGTCTAAATTGGAAGGATTGAGCTCAAAGAGAGGATGTGGCTCTTTGCTTCTCCACGCGTTTTTTGAAGTCCAACTGAATAAACCGCCGCAGTCTGCTTTCTATTTTTAATTTATATATGTGGCAAAGATTTCCACCCGAAAATATTTATAAAAAAAAAAAGCACTTTATAAATCAACGAAAGAAAGAGATTCTGGGCCGAAATGTTCGAATAGTCAAGTCCATCGTTTGGCGCATCGGCGATTCCATATTACAGAAGTCAAACATAGACGGCAGGCCTCAGGATTAGGACCATAATGTCTTAAGTTTTCTGTTCAGACCATGGCCAACCTGGTCCCAAACCATGGGTTGCCTAGCTCAACTTTTTGATTAAATTAAACATTGTGGTTCACTTATTTTGACCTTGTTTTTTTTTTTCTCTAAATCGGAAATTCGTGAAAATCTCACAACATTCGCGGTTGACACGTGAATTCGCATATATCTGTTCATGTAATTTTCGGGAATTCTAAGAATACTTCAAATTTCGTCGGGAAAGTGAAATGCAGGTTTTGCTTTTACTTTATTCCAAATAAATAGTCAAACCTAATGTGTCAATAGTCCTCTTAGTAAAAAATATAATGTTTAAGGGACTGTCTATGGTTTCTTTAATAGATATACCTGTCAGTTGTATGTGATCTTAATCTAAGGATGTGCCTTGAACTTAGACAGGACCAGGGAAGACCGCATCGATAGTCACAAGGGGCGCAAATGAACACTAGCGAACATGTAAGAGTGATCATGTTGTGTGTAGACACTTTATAGATTTTGCATCAGCATCATTGCAATCAAATGTCATTCCTTACGAATTTCATCCAACTTTCTGAAAACTAATAAATTGAAATTCTCAATAGGCCCTTGTTTAATTAACCAATTCTTTTTTATAATTAATTAAAAAATTGTCATCTATTTGGTTTCTATTGAGATACACATATGAGTTGTGTTGGAGAAGTTTCACATTGGATAATTGGTATGGTGTGGAGTAGTTAATATATCTATGTTGACCCATAACTCAATCGTTGAAACTTTTAAGTAAAGGTGGGTCTAACTAGACATATTGACGGGTTCGGACTTGAGTTCCATATTAGTAATCTCTCCAATTAAAGGTATCGGCCTTCTGCAACATACTCCCAACAAATGGTATCAGAATCGATGGTGGACTGGTGGGTCTCCGAGATGTTCCGATATTTGGTGAATATCTCAAGGAATGAATCTGATGACCAACGTGATTTTCGGATAGTAGGCGTTGTGATGTAGCAACGCGAGCCCGATGGCACACTTCGTGGTTCTACCTAAAGAAAGAGATCATGGATGAAATTGAGAGTTGATGGGGATTTTAATTGAGATATCTTGATGTAGAAGGATACTTAGATTAAGGAGAAGAGTTCACATGTGAGG